CCAGAAGAAAAAAACGGCATGTCAATTTAGGTAATTATGGGCTTATGTCTAATATGTTTTTGAAGATGGCCTTATGTTCCTTTCAGTGTGGAGCAGCAGCAGATGAAAAGAATGTTGAAGGCAGGGAGAGCAATTTCTTTGTCCTTATTTCCAAATTACTCTCCCCTCTTTCCTGCTCACTACCTTTGCCGTGTATAACCTAGCCCGATATTTTGTTCTCGTCTTTTTGGCATAGCTATTTCCTAAAAAAAAAAATACAAAACTAAGTTCTTGGCACTCTTCTAGCCATGTTATGATTATTTATCTGCCCACATTATCCCCAGCCTCAAGAAAACTGTTCTATCAGACAAGCTGAAACAGTGCAGAGAAACCTTAGCTTCTGAAAGTATGTAGAGCCAGTTTTGTAAGATGTTGAAAAGGTCAATAGTTGATAGAGTACAGAGCAACAGCAATTACACTGCTATTTTCCCCCAATTTCAGGGCTCTCTAATTTTGGCACACTAGAAATAAAGAGTCAGTGTTTTGGGGTCTTGTTTTGAGAAAGTTCAGCCTGTGGAGAATAGGAAGCCTGTTTTTCTTTGTTTAATCAGTCATTTTGGGGGGAATTTCTGACTCCCAATTGGCCAGTGTGACCAATGTACATCATTCTGGAATAAATCAAACCTGGATTTGAAAAAAGCATGTTGTCCAAACTTATCATCAACAAGAGTTCCAACTGTAATTGCGTTATGAGCCCTTAAACTAACAACTCTTAAATTAGACATGAGAGAAGCAAAAATAACCCCCAGCTCCCGGTTTGCTGACATTGCAGAAGGGAATAAAAGGTGTCAACATAAGACTGAAATCTTTCCAGTATAAAATAATGATGCCCCCTGGCAAAACGGGCTGCACCATCTGGGAGAACAGAGGGACAGAAAGCTTGAAAAATGGAAAGGGGAAAGCCATCATTATTAATAAAACAGTGTGGTGTATATGCACATTCATTGACTTGCGTGTGTGCCATGCTAGCTTTAAGAAGACTAACATTTACAACCCCTGCTTACCAATGAATTTAGTGTTCTTTTTAAACACTAAAAAGTTACTTTTTCTAAATAAAGAAACATAACAGGATAATAATATTCAACTGGCACCATCATTCAGTAATGATTTGGCGTATTAAAACTTGAGCAGAATTAATCGTTATTCATATTTTTTTTAAAATCATGACTAAATAAGAATAATACAATAAAATATTGCCCTCCCCCCAAACTGCCCTTTACACCATTAGTGGTTTCCCCTAGTTTCCTATCAAAAGGGCCCTTAAATTAAGTCAGACCGGTATGCAGGAGTAAGTTCTGCGTTAATAACAATTGGCCTCAGCAGCAGAGCTCCCTGAAAACAGCACCGTGGACCCAAGCAATGGAGAGCTCTATACGAATGACTCCAAGGTTTATAATGTCCCAGAAAGATTCTTCATGTGTAACAGTCCAACCCCTATTCCAAACAATAACAGCTGCCTCATGTCGGTATGAAGTCAGCCCTCATCCCTTGTTTTCCTTGTTATGCGTTGAATGTGTAGACGACCACGTCCTCGGGGGACAGAGAAGCAGAAAAAGAAAGACGCAGGTAGTTTGAACTGAGACTGTAAATCCTGGAGCAAGCTAAGAGCCAACTCATTAAGAAACGGGAAGTAATTTCATAAGAATAGTGACAAACAAGAGATGACTACTGGCCCATTTGGTAGCTTCTTGAGCCGGGTTTCCCATCCAGTCATTTCTTGAAGGAAGCCAAACTCCATGCAGACAGCTCCCCAGGTTCTGAGCCCACAGCCCCAGCAATGCAAGGCAGCATTGTTCACCACTGCGCCACTACGCCACCCCAATCCTACTTATATAGTTTGAAAATTCTCCATAAACAAAGCTTGGATAAAATACAGGAAGATGCCATCAGTGATTTGTGATTACCCCATTGTCGTTTCCTGAGCCCTCTCTCTTAGCTTAGACAAGGAAATGCAATAGGTACTGTACCTGCAAGGCAAATCCTCATACAGCTCCTAATTTTGTCATCTGTGGCAGGTTTACTGTGGTTCTGAGAGTAAACCCCCTGTGCCGATCTCACAGCAGGGATAATTGCAAAGTGTACATATCTGTGAACTTCTCTGCAGTGACATAACTAATCAATATTAGCCAATTTGCATGCATCGTGTTTTTTAAATTGAGACTCGTGTATCACGACACAGCGATTAGGCTGCGTAATAAACAAGCCCTCCATACGTGCAAGACTTGATCATTGAACACCATACCCTGGTGAGTATTTGCCAGATCACTTCATATAAAATCGTGAAAGCAGTACCGGAGGCACAGAAATCTGTTTAAATGACAGTCAGTACTGAGTTGCATGCCTGTACAATAAAGAACATGTGGATTTACCTGGTTACCTGGAGAGGAAACATTAAAACCAATTATACAAGTTAGACCAAACCAGAGAGTTGTAAAAAAAAAAACACTATATAAATACTCTTATAAAAACCAGCTGTGATGTATTTCACCAGGGTAGAGAGTGACCAAACCAAAATCCTGAGTTGCTTTTACAGTAATCTGAGGCATTAACTATCAGCATTCCTGACTACAGTACAGACAGAAACGTTAGATCCACAGTGTGGTGTATATCATGTTGTACTATTAATATACTGTATCTGTATGTCCACTGTTTGCTGGATAGATATTTTATCGCTGTTTCATCGACTCTTCTTCATCCTCTGACATTCTATTCAGACATACTGGATGAGCTACTGTACATTTCAATTACCAAACACATTATCATAAAACAGTCATCATGCAAACCTAATATAAAAAGCCAAAATATTCGTGTTTTGCAACTTATGTTGTTCATGTTTGTTTATGTGTAAAATACTTGCTGAAACAGAGGAGAGACTGTGGATTGTTATGCCTATGTGACCAAATAATGTATTTCTACTTAAACTGCAGCTGTAAAACTGCTACAACCCCTAGCAATGTACAGTTCGCTAAGGAATTTAAGGGGATTTTTTTTTTCTCATTTTAGTTTTGCGTGGCCTGGGGAAACAGGAGTCGCTACATTACTCAGAAATATGTCCTCTTAGCCATGCCTTTATGACCGGGCTTTATTGCATAAGTGTCTATAAAACACTTTATTGGGGTTTATGTTGTTAGGTACACAAACCGTAGTTGCCAGTAAACATGCTCTTAATAGCATGTATAACTGAATGCGCCCAAATGTGAACTTGGCAGATGCAGCCGTTTTCTACCCCGATAAGTGGTTGAGGGCAGAACCTCAGTAGGTGTCAGGGGGTGTCTTTTAAATTGTGAACCCTGAGACATCGAGTGTTACAAAAGAAGCAGAGTGAGAGCACGTGGGTGGAGGTCGTTGTACGTGCGCTGTTGGGTACATTCTGCGTGGCGTGCCTGGTAGAAACGTGCTACTGTATGATAAGCGAATGAAATGAAACACACACCCGCTATAACTTCATTGAATTCATTTCGGAGTGTCTTTTTAAGGAGAATAATGCCCTTTCCCACACTGTGAGACTCAGTCTTTTGACCACTCTCCCCTGTCCGGTGTGAGACCCGTGCCTGACCACACTGTTGTTGGGAGGATGCGTCATATGGACTAAACCCCTCCAGAAAACAACTCAACGTGTTTATTAGATTCTAACCGAGGTTTTAAAAGGACAGCAAGTTTATCCTCTGGATAATAAAGACATGTAGAATCCTAAAATGGGCTTTTGTCTTGCAAACACATGATGCTTTATCAAACAGTTAAATCTAATGGAATCAATAGTCAAAGAAATACTCTATAAGGTTTTCGGTCTCTCGGTATTAATAAAAGTCCTCTTCTTTAATCGCACAGCGTCTGTCCGCTGTTCCACCACATTGTCTTTTGACGGATTCTACATTTGTGTTCATTCGACTGAACAGAGACCACCCTGGAAGACCCTGACGCATCATATGACCTTGAATGGGCAATTAAGTCTTTGCTGGAACAACGTTTGAAACGCCTTTCGAAACCCCAGCGTTGAAAGAGCAAGTTACTTCCTCTGAGCGTGTCGTAGCCAGTTATATTTATTCCCCTTCGGCAACACATTTTCTTCTTTTACTCGTTTTGTTTTTGTGCGCGTAAAGAATAGGGTGATGTATATGAAAGAATTGAAGTCTTTTCATCGACTCCATTACAATCAATTGTCTTCATTAATGACCGTTATCAGCAGCGTTCCAGTGTTTGTCCTGTTAGTTTTTAAATGCGCATATGTATGTGTAATTGGGATGCGAGAAGAGAAGGAGCTGTTAAAAAGGCGTCAGCTTTGATGCCTTCAGCCTGTAGCTTCAATGGTGTACATTGTCTTACCTGAACGTTTATTAGGCTTCATCCTGTGAACTAAACAACTTTATGCTGAGTACCAGCCCATGATAAGAGGTAGCCAGAGTGTCTTTCATCTTGATAAATTGTTACTGGGTGCTCCACAACAATACGATACATAGATCAGACGACGGAATTATAAACCCATTAGTACACAATGTCATTGCTTATTTTGTGTTCATGCGCATATCAATCACAAAGCTTATGACCAAACACTTGAAAACCATGCCGTTTGCATAAGCTGCTGTATATATCTTCCAAAGTGATTTATTCCACTTCTGATTCCTACTACGTGGAGATCATAAGGGCAAAATCTATTTTGCGCGTCCGCACACTAAATAAAACCACATGAAAATCCCAAATTCTTCAATTCTCGCTTTTATTTGGGATAACTAACACTTTAATCTGAAATCACAGGGTGCTTTCTTGTTATCAATATCATGTTTTGTTGCAGATCGGAGCGCCCGGTACCGTTTTCCCATGAACAGTCGAGTGATCACTCCATTACCCTACAACAGCGCGACTACACAACTAGACTCGGCGGACAAATTTGCGAGTCCTTTTTTTCCATTCGCGCTGTGAAAAAATGCTTCCAGTCTGCGGTCCAGTTTTCAGAGTTTCAGGACTAGACACTAAGGTGCAATTTGCTCCTGATGAACAAGTCTACAACCTGCTGAAACGCGAACAGCTCTTCCATGCGCAGAGGCGCACTGGAGGACGAGGCAGGGGTACTCGTGAGTCAGGCGCAGCCAACAGTGGCTGGCTCTGGTGATTTGATATAACATTATTACATGCGCTCTGTAAGGGGAGGCGCGTCAGGAGGCTGGTGAAGTATATTCTCCTGCTCACAGGGCATTCGCCTTCATTCACCAGACTGCTTAAGACTTTACCGGACAGCTGGAATTTATCTCAATTAAAACGGGGATGAAATTCAGAAGAAGCAGCAAAAACGCGTCTGGATGACAAGCTTGGGGGATCTTATAAAAGGAAACGTTCAATGTGAAGATTGTCTTTTCAAATGATCAGATTTGATCATAATTTCATTTATTCGACTTTAAAGTTGAGCTCTTTGACACTGTATTTTTCATAGAAGTGTTTTTTTTCCTTTTAAGATACTACAACGATTGTCTTTTCTAGCTTTTTTTAAAAAAATATTGGTTTGATGAAAAGAAGCATGCTGATCCACTGTCTGGTCAAATATTACTAAAGACAGAGATTTCGGAGGAGAGGAACCGTACAATACCAGATGTGAAATAAACATCTTCACACACACGTTACTTTCTCTGAGGGATGGTACTGAATTTCCTAAACTCAGGAGCAACTGTTCAGCTCCTACTGAATACATTTTTCTTTTTTGGGGGAAAATCTAAATTGAAGGGAAATGAGGAACACAGTTTACTGTTTGTTCGCCTGCTCTTTATACCTGCTGTCTGCTATTGCTGAGGTAAGTAACTTCGCATAGCTGCAGTGCTCATTTGGTTCTGAAAACTGTACGGCATTATTAATGAAGTCATTGCAACGTTGTAGACGTTGCTAACAGCTGTTTATTTCCTGCAGATACCTGTTACGCGAGATGAGATGGTTTATACTTAAGTATATAAGTGAAACAGTTCAGCACTTAGGTAATTCAACTAATGCGCTTTTGGCCCACCTATTATATAAATCTGAACGCCAGTATATATTATTTTTTTAACGAATGAAACATGCAACGTGTGGAAGGCATATCGATCTTTACAACTTGAATTTCGGAGCCAGTTAAGTATATATACATCACACATTCACTTTCTCTTTTATGCAGGGGTGGCTATTAACGCAATTTTGGTCGTTTGTTTCCATGCCCCATTGTAAAAGGTCGTTTGTATGATTTTGGCACCGTAAACCATAGATTTACGCAAACGAAGGCCTTCCAAATAAAGTGCTATCAAAACCACAGAAAAAGTCGATAGCAAATGAAGACTTTTTTAAAGTAAAGGGCTTTGCCGTGCTGTTTTCATTATGGACCTGTCGTTCCAAAGCATTTAGTGCTATTAGGCTGGCGTTTCAGATATTTTTTGTGCCAATTTGAACAAATACGTCTTTTGTCGTTTTTTTAAATATTTTTAAGCATAGCACCCCAACTTGTGCCTCGAATACTACTTTTGAACTTCATTTTTTTTCACTCGAGCGTTGTAATGACTTTAATTTCTCCCTGCAAGCGCAAGTGGGTGAGCAAATGCCCAACTTTCTTGTCGCCTCCAGAGAAGGATGCTACAGCTTTGCAGATCAATAATGAAAACAAAGCGCTGTTTCGGGGAAACGTGAGAAAGGAATGACCGTGGCAATTTTGCACTGTGAATATAGCTGTACTTTTCTCTAATCTCTGTTTTCGTTTTGTTTGCCCCAAGGAGGTAGAGATACCCCAGGAGCTTATTGAAAGACTGTCTCGCAGTGAAATTCGCTCCATTAGCGATCTCCAGCGCCTCCTTGAGCTTGACTCCGTAGGTAAATTCTGCTTCTTGTTTTTTTTTCCCCTTCTCTGAACTTTGCTTTCTTTCTGGAAGATGAACGAATGGGGGTCTGCTGTGTGTTGTGCTAATGTGTTTATAAGTTACTTAACGGCGTAATAAACCAAAGAGCGCAGAGAAGGTCATAAGACACCCAGATTATCATTAGTGCATTCAGCACTTTAACAATTTGTTCATATGATCCTATTCTTTGTCTTACGTGTTAACATTAGCGGCAGCTAATATATTTCTGTATTAAAAAAAACACACTTTCTCAGTTGAGTTTTGATCGTAGAGATGTTGCGTTGAGATATCAACTCCTGCTCAATTCTACAGACAGGTTTGCAGCAAGCTTCACTAGCACTTGCTAATAAATAATCGTTTTGTCTTGCAGTCTAAAGGCGCTCCCTGCACTTCGTTCCAATCACTCACATGACTGTTGTTGGTGTGACGGCTTTTTGTAGGGACCAGGGAACTTAATTAGCTCCAATTAACGTTCAGCTGTGAAGCAGGGGGGGAATCCTCACGCGTAAATGCTTTACGGAGTATGCGAAGTTTTCAAGACCTCCCTTCAATTATTGCTCCGTGCAAAAAACGTATCTGAAAAAGTATAAGAATAAAAGACTTTTGTGTGGAACGTCACTGTGGTATTTAATAGCATAAATTCCTTAAACAGTTGTCACCACAATAATCTTATTTTTACGGCATGGAGGGAAATATGCCGTCTTGTAAAATGAGTACAGAACACCAAGGGCAGTCTGAGTCTTGGACGTGATCCATGTCGGAGTGCTTTTTTTCAAACGATAGATTATGTTTCAGAGTCGCTGCTCAAGATGTTTGCATTCACATGAACCTATATTTACACAGGCTCTCGCCATATATCATTGAGGGTTTCCTACATTTTGGTGTCAGGAATGGCACGTCAAGAAACCATTTAATACGACAGCCGAATGAAGCCCCTTGATATCATTAAGACAAAACCACCGCCAGTGATTTCACGTGGCCGTAGATTAAGAGAAAGTGCCCCATACCTGTTTAAATGCAAATTTAAGTGTCAAATAACCGAGAAGTGTGTGTGTGTAACTTAGTTGTAAAATATTGCATGATATTTTACTAAATTTTCAGTTAATTTAGCACGATAGGGAGATCATGTTCTGCATGAGTGATCTGTTTACATTGTACGTAGAATGGATTTCTTTTCGATTCCTGCTTCCGCGTTCTGAATATTGCAGTTGCAGGGTTTTTAAGCTTTTTTTTTGCGTGTTCCATTGAATAGCATCCGGGGTTGAAATTGAATGAGGGTGGGGTATACTAGGTAACACAACTTGCTGAAATTGTTAGACATACACAGTATGAATGTAAAACACCAGAAATGTCACTTTCCACGGGCTTCTACAAACCAATTGGTTAAACGCTTGACCCACTTGGCCCCTTATGTAGGATACTGTTACTTTGAAGTGTCTATTTACATGAACTGGCGTATGTAAATCAACAGAAAAACAAGGGTTTATTTAAAAGGTCTGTCTCGACAACAGTATTCCTATTTAAAAATGTTTCATTCAATAAGAACTAGCAGTGTAATGTAGCTTCAAAGATCCGAATTCTAAAGAGCCTTAAGCAACTCTGGAGTTATATTTTCTTTCTGATTATTTTCCACAAACGCTAATAGCCATGTTATTAGCCTATAGCATGACATCATTGTACCTGTAGTGTAACTTTATTGTTCTGCATCATATCACATAGAACTAAGGACGATTTAAAGGACAGCTTTGTTGCCCACTGCTCACATAACATGAAAAGAGGTGTTATAAATTAAAATGCCACTGTCAAAGTAGATTAATCTGCTCTAGGACATTTGTTCCATACTTATTATTAGTGATGCATACAAATATCAGGACACAGATTGCATCCATCTTTTCCATTAAAAAGCATTAATAACTGTTTCAGCCACTTTTGTTATAAAAGGACAGAATAGAAAACTTAAAAAGCTGAACAGGTTATTGAGCAAGATCTTCACTGTAGTCTAAGTGCCATTCTGTGTCAGGCTTAATTGCACAGTCATCTTTTGGGCAGTATAGCACAGCTTCAAGTGGGGGTCAGTTTGTGTATTTTCCTGTAATAATTATGAGAATTAGTGACAGTGATATGTTTGAGAAATTACTGAGTGTAGAATGAGAAATGACAGGATAATAAATAACTTATTTTCAATCAAATATGATCATTATTGTCCTTTCTTTCTGCCCAGATCCTGGCAGTCACCTTTGGTTCCTGTAATTCTGTTTGTGGGTAGATTTAGTTGTGGTTAAAATACTCTTAGTGGCTGTATGACACATATATTTGCTTGTAACACATTTTAATATTGTAACAGGAGAGAGGTATATCAGCGTCAGTTTGCAATAAGCGTAGAGCATTCTGAGAACCATATTACTGCTTAGATATTTACAATGATTAGAGTACTCTGCTTTGCCATGGTTAAAGCCATCATTTTGATGATCTCCCACATATTTTTAGAAATTCAAAGGTTCACCAGGTTTCTTTATCCAATAAAGAATGAGAATCTCCCCCAATATAAATCTTACCTTTCATTGCATATGAATTCAGGTGGCTCCACTGTAAATAACCCAAGGCTATCAATTCTGATGAGTGAGTTGTTTCACAGAATCTGTGATACTTGGCCAAACACACCTAGCAATCAACATGTTCAAGCACAGTTTTCTCATTAGGTATATTGTTTATGAATTACATTCTAGAGGTGTCCCAAAGGGATATGCACAGTGCATATCTAGATGTTTAAGTTGGGGAATGTACTGTATGTGTATATTTGTATAATATGGGAATGAATATCAATTAGCTCTTGAAATTTTGCAATGCCGAGGGGCATTTAACCATCTAAAGAGTCTTCTAGTTCCACCTTTGAGGCCTCATTATATCGTTCTGAGAAATTGGGAAAATATCAAAGCAGTTGACATATCCTTTACATTTAAGGTTGTTTTTCCTTGGTTATTTAACTAATTTGGCATGTCATGTTTTCCTTCCCCCTTTAGTGGAACACGTTAGAATTACTTGTCCTTTATATACTTTACTAACTCAGCACTCAGCAATGTTTATTTACGTAAGGGAGAAAGTCCTGTAGAACTCTTAATGAAATCAGTAGCTGACAGCCAATGGATGGGTATTGGTAAATTTCCCAAAGTAACGGTTAGTCAGCTAGACTCTTTTGTTAACTCTCAAACTCTCATGCCCTGCCAGTCTCTTGTATCGAACAAAGACTGAAAGTGTTATTTCACATCTCTTGTTTCTGGCTACCCTGAGCTTTTCGCAGAGGAAAGGAAACCCCCCCCCCCAAAAAAAGTGTTTGCTGTTTCGAGCAAGACTCCCAAAAGAGTTCTCCGGTTGTCTGCATTCCCTTAAGTGACAAGTCCTGTCTCCGCAGTGCCACACACATGTTATTTTAATGGTAAGGTTTCAGGCATGTGAAAAGGTTAGGGAGTGGAAGTTCTCATGCTGGGTGTTCTCTGGAAGTGACCCAGGCTATTAAACGCAGGTTCACAAATCTTGGCACCTGTCATTCTGCATATCTTTGACAGGAAGGCTGCTCCGCTTTCCTACGCTCCTGTCCGTTTTCTGCAAGTGCTGTGGAGTTACAAGAAAGACAAGCTCTACTCAAAAGAGGGGGACGGGTTACACGTCATGGGCAAACAACTTGATCTGAACATTTAAGGGTAGACTGAGCAACAGTGTCAGACTGAACAATACCTTTCTTCACAGTCGCTGCTAGGAAAATATTTGGACAAGAACCAGGCACCTTAGAAATGCTTTATGTGGAAGACACACAGGAAAGCTCATATTCAGACTATAAATCTCGAGATGGAACTAATAGGGATGTGACCTGTTCTGAACACCAGTTGTATCTGTTTGTGTTGCCTTTGCAAGTTTTGGGGGTTGATGTCCGTGCAGAAGTCAGGCCCGTGTTCATTAATAAAAAGGTACATTAGTGTTACATGGGGATGTTCACTGTAACTGGAGTCTAATCCTTGTAACACTACAATCATAATAGAAGCCATAAGCTATGGGTACGCATTGGTCAGGTTAAAATGAAACATTTGTACTGCTTCTCTGTTGCTCTGTAGTTTGAGTCTGAACAGCGTCCATAAGTGAAATACATAAATGAATGTTCCTTATCAATGTAACCATTCCAGAAGGCAGTGTATTCCTCAACATCACACACCGAAAGTATTAAACCTGAGTCACTCTAATGTGATGCAAAATAAGCACTTTTGCCGAGTAAGAATTGATATCAAGTCATTTGTTTTTCATGCTGGAAGCAGAAGAATTGTTCTTCAAGGATAGGCACATACATTTAAATACACATAGATTTAAATGAACATCATAGTGCCCTGGTCTTCTTTTAAACAAATGTTAATTTGCAGAAATCACAGGGTAGTTGTATTCTACAAGCTTTAATGAATCACCTTTCATAATCCCATGTCTAGACTGAATATTTTCAACTGCATCCTTATTTTAATGGATTCAGTTTGTATTTCATTTTGTAGAAGTCATCTTTTTATAGAATGTCTGTTTCCAGTTGTGTTTACACTTTTTTACACTAAATTAAATTGTCTTCTTTTGCCTGAATTGTAGTTTTTCACTTTTAAGTGCATTTAAAACAGAATCTGAATCACATAAAACATTAACTTTTTCCACCTAACAATATATTTTTCTGTTTTATATGGCAGGGAAAGCAGCATAATGCATTTAATAAATTGTTAAATATAATTATGGAGGCAAACCACTAATGAGCTACCTACTTTATGCTCAATAATTACCTGTCAAACCAGTTTGCACTCAAATCTTTTTTGGAGTTGATAGGAGTTGGATCTAATTCAGCTCTCTCATCTCTTCACATTTCCTAAATGTGTTGATTGTACTGTTGATCCTTCTGATGTCAGAAGGGATGTTTCATCGATTTCATTTGCAGAAGCTTCAAGCAGTCATTTAAAATGCCCTGATGCCATTTCTCATTGGCTGCACAGTGGGATCTTCTTGTAGGACTGTGCTGGTCATTCCTGCAAAAAAGTATGGATCTACGGTGCAAGAATGTAATGAGAAACGAAAAGCAAGGACAGAAAACAATGCTTTGTAAATCTAGTCATTTGCAAAAATACATATACCAACTGGAATATTCTTTAATACACAGTATTAAATACATAGGATGTCCTCCCTTGGTCTGTATTGATTGGGTTTTTTTCTTCCATAGCTTTGAATTAATTGCTGTTAGAATATGTTCTGTGAAGTCTGACTCTTTTCTCTGATGTCTGCCATTGTGCGGGCACTCACTTGTGAGGCTTCCTGGCAGTCTCAGCTTCCTTCAGATCCACCCATTATAGTTCAGCAGACCTCGGGTCAGGTGGTTGGAATTGTCAGCCTAGTCTTTTGATCCTTTTCCTGTTTAGCCGTTCAGATGCTGACTTGGCTGTCTGCTTTGGATCGCTGTATGTTCCTTATTTTGTACGGCCTAAGTAGCAGAGCAAATAGTTTTGTCATGGTAGCAGTGCAGCTCATCAACTGCAGAGAAGCAAACTCCGGAATTCAGAACTTGAGGAGTCTGGACATAATTTCTGCATTGTATGTAACGGCCGAGTGCAAACTGAATTCTCCAGATTTTATCACCATCATTTCGGAACATGATATGACTATATACCTCTGCTGCATACTGCTCATTCACTGTTCATCTTGCATCCCCTAAAATGTTTTGTTTCTCACAATGTGAAAGGGAGCAAAGCTAGTGGCAAAATCTACCCAAATTATCAGCTACAAACATGTCACATCATACAGACTGACTGACAGATGTTTAAATATAAGGTAAAATCAGGAGGCAGAGAAAAAACAAAACAAAAACCGAGACGAGTGCCGTTTTGGCTAAATTTGAAAGTAAAAGTTTGACATTTTACATTGAATGAATATTGTGATTTTTTTTTGTCATTTCTTTTTTTTTGGTTACTTCAGGGAGTGAGAATGAAATTATTCCAGAATCCAAAGAGAGATCACACAAGGATTATTCTGCAAGCCATGCCGATTTGAAGAACTCACAGACATTAGTTAGAAGGAAGCGAAGCATCGGTAAGGAATGGTCTATATCCGTAAACAAACTATTGTAGCTTTTAATTTTTCTCCTTTTAGAGCAATTGAAAAATCATTCCATAGCGGCCAAATCAGATTTTCTTCTAAAGAGGTGACAGTGACTAAACATACTGTAAAAACATTTCTTTGCATTTATTTCAAATTACAGTCTCCCACTCTCCTTTTTGAAATTGTATACAGTTGTATGGGCTTGTAGACAACTTGTAGAGAGCCCCCCCTGCACCTTCTAATGAAAATGTATTTACAGACATTAGTGGGACAAACTCAGGCTTCAGGTAGCTTCTTTTTAGCTGTGAACTCTGAGATTTCTGTGCACATGACAGGAAAAAAAAAATATATGTATCCCCGAGCTAGGAAATTCCTTACATTCATCTTCAAGACACAGCTTGTTAAGGACTAAACTAGATTACCGGTACCTTCTGTAATGCTGTACTTGGGAACAGGCATGAAAGTACATCGGATCTAGAGACCAAGTGAAATTGAGTGACATCAATTTGTTGTTGCTGACCGGTAGTGGTCCGTTTTGGTGTGGTGAACCTGAACAAGTGGGATTCAGCAAATCCTCAGGACATTTATTGCTTGTCACAGTGGATAAATATAGACTGCCAGGGTATTTATAACAGAGCACCGGTAGAGGGGACAGAATTTACTACAAGGGACCAAACTGGCTGTTACTGGGGCGCATTTCCTGTGTGCAGAAAGAAAGATCGGCCAGACTGCCTTTCACCCAGAAGTTCCTGTTTGTTCTTTCTGAGAACTTCTATGAACCTAAATGCCAAGTCCTTTATAGTTTTCGGTTTTGTGTTCTGTGTAGGACGGTCTCTACCTTCCTTTAGGCCAATTTGATGAAGGATGTTTTGTGATAATAATGGAAGGAATATTGTTAGCTCCCTGCTCATGTATTATCTGCTGCCTAAGGGAAACCTTGAATTTAGCTGCTGCTTCTTAAGAGCACTATTTCATATATCTGTCTTTCATATTAAAACATAGGTTTCTCTGTTTCTAGCTCACTATTCTCATAAAGTAGTATAATACATTAAAAATATTTATTTTTTCCAGTCATGACAAAGTATGTTGAGGACTGAATTTTAAATATGGTAATAAGCCTGTGAATTGTTTGTGGAACATCCCAATAATTTAAATATTGAACATGGTTCATATTGGCATGGTTATCTAATCCTTAAAATTACTAAAGCATCATTAATGTCAATAAAACTTGATTTTGTTACCCATCAAATAAGTCCTAGAAAGGGTCTGCTGCCTGTTTTACTAGACATTGTATTGTTAAATAATATAATCCTGAGAAATTAAGACGATTGTGCAGATGAGGTCCTCTTTTACCTTCGCTTCGTCTATTATGTAATATTCGGCAGCAGGTTTTTTTTTTATCCAGTTCTTTGAATTTAAATGGAAAACAATGACAAAAACTAGACAAACTGCACAGCTACCTCTGTGCTTCGTTGGAACTCGCTTTGTGAAACATGGTGATTTGACATGGCAACAAGTCTTTTACAGTTCCAAAGAAGTGCTGTGTATTTCTCTATCAGCAAGATTTTTTTATATATATACTGGCTGACACCCAGGAATACAGCACCATACCCTTAGGGCTGTTCATATCATGGTCAGAAAGTACACATACTGTATGAGCTCTTAATGAGCCTTTGTCGATGCAAGAAAAACCTGAATCGCAGTGCACAATGCCTTTTGATTTTTCATGCAACAAAACAGGAAGGTATTTACACTAAGAAATGCCTTTCTTATCAATATTGAAAACCCACAAAGCACACTCTTCTTAATGCAGTGCACGTGACTGACCACCACCTTCTCCTCCTCCACTTTTAGAGGAAGCCGTCCCAGCGGTGTGCAAAACCCGGACAGTCATCTACGAGATCCCGCGCAGCCAGATCGATCCCACCTCCGCCAACTTCCTGATATGGCCGCCCTGCGTGGAGGTGAAGCGCTGCACGGGCTGCTGCAACACCAACAACATGAAATGCCACGCGGCGCGGAGGCATCACAGGACGGTGAAGGTGAGGAAAGGCCGGGCCGGGGCTGCCCCCTGCGCTGGAACGCCCCACACACGTGCCTCTGCCCGGGCCCGAGCCCAGGCGGACTCCGAGGGGCAGAAAGTGAGACCGCTGCAGTCGCCAGGGCAGCAGCTGCCGGGTGGCGCTGGGACATATTAGTTCTGCTTTGATGCAGCTGTCGTTCAGTGGCTCCCCTCCATTTCAGAATCCCCTTTTCTGTCATTATTTTTCAATACTCCAGATCACTTTCTCAGCTTTTCAGTCTTTCCATTGCCCCACACGGACCAGTTGGCTGCCGTTTTCTTGGGGGGGTTGCTCGTGATCTACAGTCTACTGTGCTGTGGCGTTCAAACACCACCAACGACTGGGGGAGAAGAAGACACAACGTTATTCTTTGGAACACCTCAAAATGACAACTCAGCACACGGAAAAATGGTCAAAAGTGTCCAGATCAGTGGGCCTTGATCACTAAAAGGTTCCAATTCAATCAGACATGTCTTATCCAAAGGCTGGGGGATAGGCGTTTCAGCACCATGTTCATTAATCACAGTAAGTTCATTAACCATGTGTTACACACATTACAATTAAGATTATGGGTTCATTAGAATCTGGTAATTTGTAAAATGCTTACAATTCCAATGATGTGGAAAGATAGCACTAATGAGGGTAATGATTATGCCCAAAGATTATGTCGGAAAGAATTCACTACACTTTGTAGCCATAAGACATGCTTTGATTTGTGCACTATGCATTATTATTATTAAAGTTGGGAGGAAGCAGAAAGATTCAGAGCCCAAGGCGAGGAGTCAGAGGAGGACATTCTTAATACAGGAGCAGATTGAGCACGGATATAGCTCTGGCTCTGTTTGGAGTCTTCTCATTTTAAGGCTTTCCAGTCTTTTTTAAGATGTGAAGGTTCTCCCGATTCACTAACATTATGGAGAAGAGCTGCATAGTACTTCTTTCAGGCTAATGGCCTTCATGGAACATTCCTGCGGCAGCAAATGTTTGTACCTCTTCTTTTAAAATACAGAACATTTCACAGCACCTTCAATTTGCTAATTGTCAATAAGTACAAAATAAGTAAGCTTTCTTGACACATCTTCAATCTGTACTCCTTCTGTTATTGTCTGTGGTTCCTACGTGTGGTGTAAATTCCTTAAGAAGTACCTTATTTTCACCCTGCCCTTGTCTTCTTGATCATTGGAGATCTCGTGGCACGTTTTTAACAGCAGTGTTTTGCTGAAATTCTAAACTGGTCCTTTTCAAGATTTAATCGCCTGTTGTGGAGAAACTGTAGTTTTGGTGTTATTCTCAGGCTCTCTTAAGTGATCTGTTTGGTCATGCGCCAGTGAGACATTACCTTTTGTCATGCAGTACTTCACAGGACCAGGCAAGGGAGACACTAGAGATGCAGACTGATAACTCTTAACAGTTTAACTGCAAGAAATGTCTGAGCAGGCTGAAAAGGGATGGATCCCCGTGATAATTCTAGGAAAAGCATTGTTATGTTTGAAAAGCTCCCAGTTTGGGATTTTTCCCCGAATCTGCCCCCTCCTCCTTGGGCTTTCCTTTTTCTGGCAGCCAGTTGTATTTCAAAGGCAATGCAAAGACAGGTCAGCTAGGACAAGCCGTTCTTTGTAGGTCTTGTTTTTGAGGCTGGCCCTGGCCGTCATAAACTGAATCATAGGACGATCAGATCATAGCTCGATCTGATTCATTTTCGACTGCCCGGTCTTCCTTTGATATAATGAATTGTTTTAAGAGTTCAATGGAAGCTTTTAACCGTCTGTGCAAGGGATCTGAATGCCATTATTCAGTAGACCATGCAGAGGAAAAGCTAGGCGGGCCCATAACTGGTGGTTTATGTGGGTTATTCTCGGAATGTAGTTACATATTGGTGTTTTTGTGTCTCTCTGATGACATGATCTTTGATATAATAAGGTCCCTTCAGGAGATTAAGTATTAATAGAGCCTGCTTTCCACTGAGGTCAAGGCATTTCATATATGAAGGAGAAAAGCTTTATTCTGAAAGGTCAGGGCCTGATGTGGTAGACATAGCATTTGGTTAAGACACTCAAGATATTTGTTTAAAGAACATTAATTCCGTGCCAAGTTCTGATTCTGAAGGGGTCAGTGTTTAAGATTTTTTCAAAGATAAAAACATTAGCCCGGTTCTTACACTTTTTATACAAGGAAATAAATATATTTTTTTCTCAATTTTTAAAGTAATATTTTGTGGATGTACAGTAGACAGCATTTGTCAGTTTTCATTTTATTGACCTAAAACCATGTCTGTGTAAGCCAGACATCTACCAGAAATGATCGCTCTAGGGAACATTACACTGAAGCCGGTGTACAAGGCCATAGTATGCTATGCAGATAAGTATTTCTCAAAGGGAACATTAGCAGGGCGTGTAACACAATTCTCAAGAATTTGCTTAATAGCTTTCAGAAAGCTTTTAGATAATTCAGCACAAATTGTTTTGGGAAATAATTAAATACATGACTAATACAGCAGAAGGCTTCTTCTGCATCAATTGGAAAATGGCTCTCTTTGCTCTGCCAAGGGGTCGCTCACCACAAGACTACAGCTATCTCACCCTGTCATTGTACGTCATCGGATACATTAGAACACGTTCCTGCAAGATGATGAGCTTCCCCTTATTCCCATTAAGGTCCATCCTCTCTTTCAATCCAGGAGTCACTTATCGGAGCACTTTGGCCCCAAGGGTCGGCCGCTAACCCTGTTCCTCCCTCCATCACTCCTCAGTGGAACCGTTCCGTTTCTTCAACATTTCTGGCTGATTTACGTTCCGGGGTTTCCATTTGATGTACGGCGGGTGACCTCGAAGGGAATAGGCAGTGTCTCATACCAGAGCAGTGTATCCTTTGGTGGATTACATCTAGTGTAACCTAAGGCGTGGCTGTAGGTCCCTGACCTTCCAGTTCTCAGTCTGGAGGGGCTGCCTCTCAGTGCCGCCACTGTGTCCTACTCATGTAACCACATTTTCTCCATACTGCCACTCCCGCTACACTCTGTGTGCTATTTTCTTCTTTCTGTCTCTACGTTTACTGTCCTTAACTATTTTCCTGCGGCCTCCGACAGCCCTATTTCAAGCGCGAGTCAGTAAAATGAGCCAGTAATTGCTAATAGAAGGGACCTCGGAGTCTCTTCTGTGTTGTTAAATAATCCTGTAGACCTCTCTTTGTATACTTCTGAGGGTTGACATGGTGTTCTCAACTTTCCATGCTTTAATGAAAGGGTGAGAGGAGTACCTGGTAATAGTATATGATTATCCTCATGTGCTGAAGCGCTGAGACAGAATGCTACAGAAATATGTGAGCACTATAAAATGGAAAATACAAAAAAAAAAAAACATATCTATTAGTTTGGAGCAGAAGCAAGGCCATTAATTACAGTGTCCCCGACAGCTGGTGTTTAAGGAGATGAAACAGCATGGATTTCATTATATCCCCCTTGTGCTTTGACTTGCCAAATGTGTTTTTAGTTTTTCAGATTTGCCTCTGTGCTACATTTAACCGCTTTTGCCCAGGGGAACGACAATATAAAAGTAGGATTATTGGGTTGTAAAAAAAAGTCTTGAAGTTTGATGGTCTTTATACTTTTAATATTCTGGCCACCATATCCAGCGTGTTTGATTCTAGCTGCTGAATTTGAATTTCCCAAAACTCACTCATATCTGCTAAGGGTACAGTAAATACTCTGAGGTTGCCCGATTATTTGATCGTTTGTATATTGTTTTCATCAAGAGGCATCCCAAAGCAAGAAACAGGTAGGTTAACACACCTTTGAACCAGAAGTGAAATTCATAACCCTAACATTTGAGTTCTCATTCATTTAATTCCTGTACGTTTTAGTAGGGAGCTGAGTCAGTAAACGCAGGCTGCAAAGAAACAAGTAAAGGTTCTTTCTATGCTGAAATGCACTGTTTCTTTTCTTTATCTTTCAGTGTGGAATGAACCTTTACTTGTCCCTTTGCATTTTATTCCTTTAGCTCACTCTACAGAAGGACTGGACAGCAGGGCTGAGGAGTTGTTCCGCCATTTCCACTGCAACACGAAAGTTGTATTAGCTGGATTATTAGCTGTTGATTCAAGCAGACCAACACTTGAATGGGAATTCAGATAAAATGGTTATCCTTCTTAGTGTACGGAACACCGAGAGTCTGAATAATTTAATTGCACAAAGTCAAATGTTGGTTTGACGTCTCAACTGAAAGGTGAAACCTTCTTCAACATAGCGTCCCCTTTTTATCATGAGGGATGGAAAGACACAGTTCACAGGGAACAGAGACACCTACTGGTTCAAGACCAATACTTAGCAACCCAGTTTTTCTCAGATGTATCCTCTCAGATGAATCATCAGGCCGAGATCTAATGAGATCAGGCATCAGTGCTAGTAGCTGTGGGGCAACATGGAGAGCATCCCACTGACCTTTAAGTGGTCACAGTTGCAGAATCTGTTCTGCTATGAAGTGTAAAGTGAATCCCAGACTACAGCAGTCCAATTTCTGTCAAAAAACAAACCATGGGAGGTGAATGTATTGAAGTATTTGATATGGATTAGGAGAATGAAAAACTGAACCATTTAACCGTTAACTGACTGAAGTCAAACCGTCTGTTACTTTGTAGTTTCTTTAGTCTTACTGCAGGATGCAGAATGGAGAGTATGAAGCTCTAGTATGTGTTGGCTGGTTAAAGAAAGGAATAGTCAAAGAAGCTGATTCTTCAGGTGGAAAATGTTACACAAAAGACTCTTTAAGTGTTGTAGAGCGCCATATCACTTTATTATATTTGTTACTACGCTTACACCATTAACGTGACTGCAGATCTGTAGGACTGGAAATATACTGGGTGTATTAAAATGAAAAGAGCTCTGTGATGTCTATATGTTTAATTTATGTTGTTGACATGTCCTGTGGGTTATGTTTTGACCAAGATCTGTTTTTGAATCTATGCCTGCAGCTGTTTCAGTATATTTAAAGTGACCTTGATCTTGTACCCACTATAGGACTTTTTTCCTCTCCTGGGTAACAGGCAACAAAGTCAACAACACATCACTAGAGATTATGAGACTTTTTTAAAACCCAAGCCACTTTCATAATTACAGATTACGGAGTGCATCGGCATCAGGAACTATGGATGTTCATTCTGACAGCATTTCTTGTTGTAAGAGTGGTCTATGGGAATTAATGTACATGGGACTTTTTGTTCTTGAAATGCCAGGCACCCTTTAAATTTATATATGAAAGGGGTCTCTTTTTTATTACACATCATTTTAGAAGAGACGTTAAAGAATATCATGGTGTTTTTGGACACATTGCATTACGTATCTACTGTATAAATCCAGCCCCCCCAAATTTTTTTTTAGAAATTTTTTTTAAAGAAATTAAGCAAAATGACTTCAGCAGAGGTAAGGTAAGGAGCTTCTTTGCCTTGTAAGACAAAGCTGCCTATTTGAAATTACGCAGTCTTGGAGAAATTTGCAGGAGGCCAAGTGGGTTTGCGGAAGATTAATGGGAAGCTAGTTAATCAGAAACTAAAGTACGCTCACCTGCACTGGAACTGTCAGAAATGAAGCAAAGGCAACCATTTTAAAATTGTATTAATAAATTAATTAAGAAATAAGTATTGAATATTTACAAAAGTTTCTTCATAAATGTCTTGCAAGAATGACCATGTTGGCATATGTAAAGTTTCCTTTGATGATCCAAAACATTGCTTCATGAATCAGCATTTCAATATTTTCATATTAGAAAAAAATTATCTTTATATACAACATAGAGTCTTCTGGAGTTCAAGTGGAGGTATTTTTTTGGAAAAATGTTTTCTGATTCTAAAACCTTTTACTAGGAACACATCGTAATTCACTTTATAACAAAATATGTGCAATATGAAGATTACATTTGAAAAAGTAACTGTGTCATTATCTTCCAAGTCTTCCATTTTTATTTTTTATTAAGTGTTTTGTGCTTCTTTGAGGCAAGCTACGATAGGAGTATTTTTCAGTAAAGCTTTAAAACAGGCTTGGAAAGAAGTTGAGGGTGTCTGGTAGACTACATTTTTAATAGTTAATGGAACTCCTTTGAAATCTGATAGGGTGAAAAGAGAGAAGGAATCAATCTATGACCAGACATCGGTCTGAAAGATGTGTTCTTCATAATGAGATTGCTGGATAGTAAAGGCAAAAGTATTATGTTTAAATAACCCATGAACATACTCTTCTCAGAAGGTTTTCATAGTAGTCATAGTTTACTTTGGGTACACAAGTTCAAATAAATGTACATATTTTTTAATTACAATTACATGTTCAGCACAGCTTTCATAACTTTTATCACTCACCGCACTAAATTGAAAACAAACCTGGTTTCATTTTTGTCTGGTGATTTTGTTCCCAAGAGGTTTGGGTCTTTAGTTTCGTTTCATCATTATGCTGTACGATGTGTAACAGACCTTTTGCAAATGTCCCATAGATATTTTGGCATCTTGTTGCTCATTTGCACTTATCTATTATCTGTGCGTTTTGTCTTCCATTGACAACATATTTACTGTAGTAGTATTTACATGGGGAATCCTCATTCATTTTCCACAGACACTGAGCTTTACAAACGAGTCACTTCGGGCCGCTTTCTGATTTTGTCAGTTAATGTAAACCTTAATTCCTTGAGGCATATCAGATATCATTTTATAACTGCTCCCAGATTCTTTCTCAGACTGAGGGTTCCAAGCCTTGAATTATAGCTTTCTGGTATAAATAGTACGGGCTGTATTCTGACTTTGAAGCTGCCCTGCTTATTTTTCGGGGTAAAAAAATAAAATGTTGCTTTCAAAGGACTGGAAGCCTTGTGCTGCGACAGAGACGAAGAGAAAAAAGCATATTGCTGTGACCTGCTACTGACCTCTGCAACAAAGCATTCTTGCATGTCAGAGGGCAGTTTTAAGCCTTTTTTGTATAAATCCGACATCCCTGAAAAATGTGTTATAGTCCACAGCTTCATGCATCTAAAGGACTTTTGTTTGCCATCCCAATGAGACCAGGCCCCACTCCGTGTTGACAAAGCGGGCCGGCCTTGTGATGTAATTTGTACAGCAGCTCTTGATCAAATGCGGTTTCTGGTGGTGGAAGTGGCAGACGTTTATCTGTTATACCCTGACTGAAGAAAAATGCCTTAATGCATTTTGAGCTTCATTACTGAGGGCACAGTGATCGGCAAACGGTTAGGCAAAAATAGGAGCACTTTCATATTTACTGTCCAAGGCTGTCAGGAGCGAACGGACCAAGCTGCTGCACTACCTTTCTCTTCAGTGATTTCTTCTGACTTACACTGTGTGCTGTTTTCGCTGACCTACAGTTCGTGCAAAGCAGCAGTTTAATTCAAACACAGCCTGAGCCCATTTTGAACTCTGCTGCACACAAATGTGTCACTTGGCTTTGTTCACATAATAATAGTGCTGATAACACGTTACTCATACTCATAACCCAAATTATTTTGCCTATGTATATTATGCTGTGTGTTGCACATTACAATATCCTTATTTGCCACGATTTTGGTCCCGGTTCAAGGTTTCTTTATATAACATAGTAACCCCTTAGCTGTTATTGCTGCGAGTCCAGACCTCAGAAAGCATATAGATTCCAGTGTGCACCTTTGACCTGTACCTTTCCGTAGTCTGTGAGGCCTGATAAGACTGCACACAAGCAGAGGGCAGACACTATTGTGAACTATTTGCTGGTGGCATACTATTTCTTCTTTCCTTTTCCTTCTGTGAGCTGCTGAAAGACATTAGGGAACTATTAAACATTTTTTTTTTCCCTGATGATAAATTAAATAAGACTAAGCTGTTGTTCCAAAGACCAGTGGCAGGTTAGGAATTTAGGAAGCCGAGAGGAAACATAAGGACGCACAATGACCAACAGACATTGCGTGGGGAATAAATGAAAGTGAGCTGTAGATACACTGCCAAACGGGTTAGATGGGCTCATTGTGGTCTTGTCGTGTTTGTAACCTTTCCTTTGTACCCCTTTGTGCCAGTGTCTCTGAGCCCCTGCGTGTTTTTCAGATTGCAGCTCTACGGGGTGTGTTGTTTTGTTAAATACTTCAATGTTTTCTATACAGAATTACCTTCATCAAGCATGTCTTCCATATCTATTTTTATTCAAATGAAGAATTTCATGGCAAAATAAAAGAATTCAGGATGCACACGCCAAGCCACAATCCCATCGTGCTATGCGGACAGCAGCACTATCATCCTGTAGTTTGATCTCTTCAGATCGGGAGCCCTGATAAAATGGACCTGTCCAGTACTGGGATGGGAAACATCTAAGGAAAACCAGGTTGCTACCTACTGTAGACCAGTGGGTGGCTCTTTACTCTCTGGACAAGAGTGTCCAAACCATTACTCCAGTATAGTGACTAGGATTCCATGACACTGTTCCTCATAGTAGGGGTATTAACACCGAATTCCACTCTGACCTTGTGCAATCTGGACTGGTTGAAATTCCCCCTTAATTTAACTGGAGAAGTAGCTTATCTTTTCTCAACACCTCGTTTCAGCACCTGGTCTGCGGTATAGTGGGGCTACTGGCTCAAAGTCACTTCCACTAATCACTCGGGTGGGGGCTGCACTTCACTTGTGAAGTAAGACATAGGTCACCTCCTGAATATAAAGTGCAGTATAAATATAAATAATTGCTATTTCTTTGAAATGTACTACCAATTCATTCAGATCTGACATCGAAAGAACATTTTATAAGTGACAATGGTAAAACAAAAGTGCCTTCTTGAACTAAATGGAGTCAGAGTCAGAGTGAGGAAGATGGTTTATAACTCGTACTCCTTGAAGAGGAATTTAGGAATTATAGCCAGTTTGTTTTCAACATGGTAGTCACATCACTAGAATGCTAAGTCTTTAAATTGGGCTGCTGCTGCGTTTGGCTTTTTAAGTAGTTTTATCCCAACTTGTTATAGCAGGGAACTATTTTTTCAAATGGAGGTGTTCAAATTCCTGTCTAAAATCAATATTGGCAGCACTAGAATTTCTCTTCCCTTCTTTGTGCACCGCTTTACACTGGACACCTTTGCATTGTTTTGCTGTTCACTCAGTATTTTCCCTTTTTAAATTGAGAAGCACAGTTCAGTTCAAGCCATGTTGTTTTAAGATAGCATAACAATATATAGACTTTAATTCTCATTTGTATGGGTTTTATATAATAACGTTAATGATGAAGGCAAAATGGATGGGATAGGTACATGTGATGGCTAATCCTAATGGCTGCTCACTTAAGGTTTACCTGATCACATTTATGAAGTTTCTTGTCAATGATAATTAAGGATTTCTAAATGAGGGTTTTGTTCTCTCCACAAGCTAAGCTCTATTAATAAAGTTGTCAAAGTTGTTGTAATTGTGAAAATACAGGTGGAGGCCTTAAATAAATTGTTGTGGCACTTTATACTGTACATTAAATTATATAGTATATTTTAAAATGAGTAGAAGGAGAAAGATCTCTTTAGCAAAGGAACGGACAGTGACTCACCACACCCCCCATACTAATGCAGTATCAGTACAATGATCTATGTGTATATAAACAGACATATTTGAAGCAGCATTCATTTTTAATATATTACTTATACATTATTTTGACTTTTGACCCTTCTTTGAACTTTTCTTTTATAGTTATGTTGGGGCCATTGAAATGAGAGATGATCTCTTATAACAGTGAGTGCATTCATCAGAGTGCAGTAAAGTGTCTTGCTAACCAATCCTAATTAAAAGATACCGCCTGTTAAGGATTTAAAACATTCTTCCTAATTTAAATACCTAGTCAGCTGTTCAGCAAGCTAGGTCATTCCTGGTGTAGACATTTTCCAACTGTTAATATTCTTCTTTTTTTTTGTACAGGTGGCCAAAGTTGAGTATGTCAGGAGAAGACCCAAATTAAAAGAGGTTCTTGTGAGATTAGAAGAGCATTTGGAATGTGTCTGTATACCACAGCATCATGTCACAGAGCACACAGAGGCAGAAACAGGTAATTCACCTTTTATTCTAGTTCTCATTTGTTGTCGGCTTTTTTTCCACTGGTATGTTCCAAACCACTGTCTTTACAGTTGTACGTGTTTATTAGCATATCACAAATGTATCCCACATTATGTGTCTGACGATGCGTGGGGTGACTTTCTGAAGAAAGGGGTTTTCCTTAAGTTGCTGAAGCTCTTCTTCTAAGAGCAGTATTGCATTTGCAGTTCATCTCCAAAGCTTTAGTAAAATAAAGGTTATGTAACCCCTCAGGTAAAAAGGTCCAAAAACTTGTGAGTGGTTTCCAAACATTTTGTTTTGACCCTTGGAGATCATTTGCAGTCACCTCAATATTTGGTATGGACAAACTATCCCATGCTGGGAGAGCAGAAGAAAGTTTAAAAATCAATACCTCATCAAGAAGCTTAACAACATTACATGTGTATAATTTACTACTGAGAAGGGTTGATGTGCAATGAAGCCCACATTTACATGTTTTTTTTTCCCTGTGCTTTTGCACAGAGTTTAAAAGAGGCCCCTTGGTAGTTGGGGCAGAGTCCTGCTTGGCTTTGCAGTGAGATATTTTCACAGCTCCTCCTATCTCAATGGCCCTCCACCCCTGCGGGTGTCCCTTTGTAACCTTTGTATCTATGTTAAAGTAGTACATGTGGAATCTTTCATGCTTAGGAGCTGTTAGCCTCAATGTACTTAGTGCCTGGTACACTCTTCCACTGTTTGATAAGACTCTTGAATGCAGTTTTTGACACCTGTATTTTGCCTGCAGTAAAATATAGTTTCAGCCTGTTAGTGCTAACAGCTTTTCTATTGATAAGTGGTGCTTTTCTAACTCACTTTTTATAACAGCATTAAATGAATAAACAGAGACAAACAAGTTTTCTCACACTTATACTGAAGAATGGTGTCATATTTCAGTTTTAAAAGTGGCCTTTGCCTTTATTTTCAAGCTTGTGCGGTTTAAGGGCAGTGATTTCTACCCATATTGGGTTGAGATAACATAGGTTACAAGATGTTTAATTAAAATAATTTAATCTGGATTTAGTACAATCACTACTAAAAGTGGCCAAACTTGCATTCCTGCTGCTCAGTTCAGTTATAGGTGTCTTTTAGTATGTTACATGAAAACATTTATTATGGAATAACCATTACCATTCTTCGATCTTTCTTCTAGAAATTATAGAGAATCAAGTGGGATTACATAAAACATACAATACATATTAATGTGGAAATTTATACTGATACCATTTGTCTCCAATAAAGCAATCATAATGGAAAATATTAAAAATTATTAGACGTGGCAAATTTGTGACCCAATTTCACTGCTGAAAATGTAATCATAGATTAAATGTAATCTATGTATCTATGTAATCTATGTAATCTATTGTAAGTAATTTCACTGATGGAAATGTAATCATAGGTTGTTTGTTTTTCTTGTCACATTAAAAACACGTGTCACCCAAATCAGTGACAGTGGCTTTTAGATCATAGCTCTACTGCCGTGCATGATGGCGTGAATTGAAATTGCTCCGTTTTCGAACAAACAGGACTATTAAATTAGCTAATGAACCTTCTTATTGTATGTCAGTCTGATGTATATCATCAGCCAAAATGGTGACACCAGTTTCCAAAGGCTTCCTGCTGTTCAGGTGGTAGTTCTGGCGCATGATCGAAAGCTCTCCGATCTGATAAAAAAAGAGCTGCTGAACTGATAGTCATCCTAGGTATTTATAGCTTTCTATATTGAACTGAAATGCATTTCCTTGGGGCATTGTTTTAAACCAGCCCCGCCCCCTCTGTTTACAGGGCGAAGTAGGGCCACAGGTAAAAAATGGAAACGCCAAAAGCTAAAACACAACAAGGACTTATTGCCGACGTAAAAAAGCTAAAAGTCCCTTGGACCTGTGTGCAGTACAGGTAGGACTTCACAAGAAGGGCAATAAATCAAAAGCCAGTGCAAGCAATGAAAAAAATATAATCATCCGATAGCACTGCACAGCCCTCTGAATGGTCCTGTGATTTTCGCTCTGCTCTCACTCTAAGGCTGCTTTGAGATCAGAGGTGGTGTGCTTTGGTGATCCTACCTGCTGGCAAATTCTTCTGAAGTTGTTGTTTTTTGTGTGTGTGTGTGTGTGTGCGCTTGTTAGCTTACTCCTTCTTTGGCCTCCTTGTTCGCTCCCTTCCTTCTCCGATTCGAAGAAGCTCAGGCTTAGAATCCTACCCATCCACCTCCAGCATCCGTTCATTGGAAAACGAGATTCCCACCTTCAGTGAATACCAAAGCAACACTCTTTATATAATCAGTGCCTAGAACTGATCTAAGGGATATAGGGCTTTGTTTTTTTCTTTTATCTTTCAGACAGCTTTTGCCAAAGGCATAGATTCTGATTGTTGCGGTTTGGAAGGTTGATTAAGCCACTCCTTGAATAAATTCGAATTGTTGTGAGACATTAAGCAGCAATGTGGCAGTCAGGGGCCGAGTATACTGGAACTTTAGTGTGTAAGACACCTGTGTAAGTGTAAAGCTGAGATTATCTTTCATTTTGGCGTCTTCTGCCGTTGTTATGATTCCATTCCCAAAACTCAGTACTTCAGAGAAAAAAAACCCTTTTCCCGAATGAGCTTCAACTTGTACAGAAAATCGTTTTTGGAACTTGCTGTTGGAAACTTTGCAGTGGATTTTGGGTACTTCCACAGGTTTCTGTAAATATAAATTTGTGATTAAATTGGTAAGAAAATCACTTTCTGTGGTCTTGCATGTGCACCTTTAAATTACTTCCACAGGATTACTACGTTACAAGTCTTTTTCCAGATTCAGAAAATGCTACTACTTTCCCACGCATTGATTTTTTTCTAGTAAATCAGAAAAACGTATTTTTCAATACACCATGAGGTTTATTTAGAAATGTTTTATTGCTTGTATTATAGTCTCTTATAAATGTATAGTGGAAATATTTTTTTCATTTCATTTTTTCATTTGATTTGTCCTTCTAATGATTTAGGAATCAATTGAAATCAAAAGCTGCATTATTTTGTGTTGTGTTGATGTAGTTGATGATAAGCGTTTAACATCAAACATTAAACTCTGTAGTTTAAGATTTCTGCCTTCTTAATGATAAAACAGTTTCATATTTTTGAAACGAAAGAATAGATTGTTTTTCTGAGACTCCCACAGCTGTTTTGGTCATCTGTGTACTCTACTTTTCTTTTTCCAGCAGATGTGAGGTGAAAATGACTAACCGAAGGATGACTGTAAAGGGGAGTGATGCAGTCTACTCTTCAAACACCCTAAAACAAACTGTCAAAGGTGCTTTCTCACAGTAACAGTTAATTGCTCCAAAATGTGAAACCGACAAATCAATATTATTAACAAACTGCTCGTCTCACGGACAAACAGCGGACGAACAGAACAGAGAACAATTTTTGTACTTGGAAAATGAAATAACTGAGTCAAAATGAAAAGAATAGTGGCACTCTGGGACTATACAACCATTTCCTTTCAGGAAAGAAGAACAGCACATTGTTGGAGCTGGATGAGAAGAGGAGAGGAATTTGAAGGGAATAAAGGAGAAACACTGGAGTAGTCAGAGGTGCTTGATGGCCAGAAACCTTGCTGCTTTCTAACAGACTTTAATGGACTTCACGCGTACGAAGCAGAGATGGATAAAAGCCATTTGGAATCTGCAGAGCTGCTGTGGGACATTCTCGTTGAGTGGTTTAAGTCTTTTCTTCATGGGAATCCTTAAACAGACAGCTGGTTTTGTTTCAGCATCAAGGATTTTCTTAAACAAAGCATTTCCTTTAACCTTTCCTAACCCTTTTTATTATTTGGAAGGACAACACGAACAATAAACCAGAAAGGTTGAGCGTCCAACCCTAGCGATTACTACCAGAAAATGCCATTTCACACTCTGTTCTTATGGCTGAACCACTTGCTCTGACGTTTCAACATCGACTCCGGCCTCTGTCTTCTCCCGAGGGCCCATTGGCAGTTTTCTGTAGTGATATTGACTCTCCATCATTTCGGTTCTTGGCATTGTCTTGGTTTTTTGCTCATTCTTTTCCCAGTTACTCACACGTGCTTCTGAGCGACGTGTGAAAAACAAAGTCTGTTTTCTGACAAACTGCTTTGCTCGGCAGAATACCGACTACAAATATTTGAAAGATGGGGAAAAAGAAAATTCTTTATTTTTGGTAAATTGTTATGCTTACATGTATTCAACAGGATTTGTTATCTTGTCTTCAAATGGTTGTATTTTTATCTAAAAAAGAAATCCGTTTTTTTAAACATCCCAGTGAAATATTTAATATGCTCTTCTTTAACTTAATATTGCTTCAATTACACATTTCATTTACTGTCTTTTTGATTTGAGTTTAAAGTCTCAGAGTTAAATATGATGTAATAGAAAAAAAAACTAATTTCAAAACCTGGTCTGTTGACTCACGCTGGGGAAATGTTTTAACATTGTATGCAGGCTCATATCAAGTAAACAAACTATTACCATCACTTCTCTGGCTGATCATAAGCTTTGTTGTGTAAATTTAACATATTTTACAAATCAAAAGCAATAGCTCAGTTATTTAGGATTACAACCCTGCTCGGATAATTAAAAACCTTACATTACCTTCAATGACATCAGTATAGTGTAGTTCCCACTAAAAAGAGCAGAGGGCTGTATTCACAAACACATTTCAGTCTAAATAAGTGGAACACTTGGTCACAGAAAGATATTCCTCTAAAGCCTCTAAGGTGGCCAGTGGCGTATTACCGTCTTCCTTTTTATGGGAATAAAATTCACATGCTAATGAGTTTGAAGGAAGCCTCTCTGAGAAAAATAAAAGACGTGTCCACTGGGCAAACTGGGCACCACTGGTGTGGTGGTTCGCAGCAGGTCTAGTTGTCCTGGGAGGGCTGAAACCAGAGGGGAAACAGACCGTGTTGTTAGAATGTGATGTTTTACCCAATAGTCCTGCTGTTAAGTTATTTAAACTGAAACTGCTGCTTTCTTCTGTAGCTCAGTTCCTTAAAAGAATACATTGTAATCGGTGCTATATATATAAATATATATTATTTTTTTAAAGGAATTATTTGCAGCATCACTTTCCATAAAAAGCATAGTAGGCCTCTTTGCTGACAGCTGAAGTCTTCCCTGTTAAACACAAATGGCTCCAATCTGGGACCATTTCCATAATAAACTCAGTACATGTCCTGAGGTTTTCAGGCACCATGGAAGAAAAAATAATTTATATATTTATGGTTTCAGTATACGTATTTCTGCTTCATTAAACTTTGTACAAAAAAATATTTCTTTTGTCTTTATCCTGCATTCAAAGAGTGATCTACTGTTTGGTGTTCTTTTGTGTTCTCTCAATGTTGATCTGTTTCACTAAACCTTTTTTTTTAGTATTCTGTCCGTCTATGGCACTTTTGAATTTGTATTTCTTTAGTTCTGTGCTGCATTTGTTGAAAAGGGGCATCCGAGTTGGATGTGCTTGATTGGCATATCTGCTAAAAATGCAAGTGTGTACGAGGAGAAGGTGCTTCGAAAACTATTCTCTCTCTGTCAATGGAATTCGTGCTATACAGAGAAATAATTTAATGCATTTTCTGCAATTAGAAAAAAATATGGCATAACCATAATGTGCTTTTGTGCTAATTAATAGATTTCAACTTCTGACATATTTCCATTTAACATGTGTTAGATGTATCACAGCTATCACGCTTTTTGCCCACAGTACAGTAATGAATCATTTTTCCGCTGAAAAGGGGTGGTGCCCTCTGGTGGGAGAGCAAAAGGACTTGATTGGCAGGGTTTAAATCAGGAAAGAGCTTTACAAGTCCCAGCCAGTCACAATACACAGATTCGGCTGCCTGCTTCCAACTCAGCCAATCCAAGAGCGGGGAGTTTCCCCGAGAGATGCTGGCTAGCCATTGTGTCTGCAGGCCAGTCACGCGGTCATTTCTGAGTCTAAAGCTGAGACAAAGCACAGACGATGCACACAGTTTCCTACTACTTTTTTTCAAGCAATCTGTGGCAGCACTGGTGGTTTTTTTCCAACTTCAGGTGGACAGATGCAAAGATAACATTTGTCCCCTAAAAAGAAGCAAACAAAGGCAGTTTAATATGTGGCACAAAACCTACTTTATTGTTCTGGTACATATATATTGTGTACAAATATTTTTCATTAGACCTTATAAGGCACCAATAGCATACAATGGAAGCTGTGGAATACGGTATAAATTGATACAAAGAAGGAAGTTAGATGGTGTAACCTTCAGGCACCAGTAATCAAATATTGTCAAAATTGAGCATCACAATCGTACCTATAATCACCACAGTATTGAATACTGGATAATGGGTGATGTGTTGTCTACCAGCTACATTGAGAACTCGGGGAAATTGAATATTTTAAATCCCATCCCTAGGTGATGTCCCACTGTACTGCCTTGTAGGAGAGCTCCAGTTTCACTGCCTGCTTTTACAGTTGGCTGCATTTACAGACCTGAAGACATAACAAAAGAATGGAAGGAAGACTGAAACCTCCCCTGTATGAGAAGGACAGCATATTTTCCACATTTTTTATTGGTTTTCATTTAGCTTCCAACAGCTGCTGCAAAATTACCATGAGCTATACTAACATGCAGCAAGTGTTACTGGCAACATCTGTCACTAGCACAGGAGACATCTCACATTAGTCTCAGAACTAGGAAACACTCAACACTTCTGACCTGCAAATGACACAGTGCCTAATTAACACGGCAATCGTGCGATCGTCTCACAAACTGGATGACCTACAGGTGTAAATGAGTATGTGTACCTGCATTTCACATGATTGCAGTCACATGTTTAATTACAAATACACCAAATAACATGTAAGTTGGTGAAGAGTTAAGGATCGGACGTGCTTTCAAACTCAAGGATAAGGACTCATCCAGTCCGTTTTGATCTGCTGTAGCCTGTGTAGATCTGTTGGAAAGCATCTGATCTCCGGCTCAGGAAGATCTTTTTTTTTTTTCTTCTGCTGCCACCTTTAATCCAAAGTGGCTCAGGAATCATGAAACTCTTTGTGACTTCCTAGTCTTTGAACCAGTGCATTAGCTGTGGATTCCAGACTCAGAAAAGGGCACGCTGACGTTTTAGAAAGACCTGCAAGTGCATCAGAGGGCGATGTAAATCAATCATGGAAAGGTTTAGTCCTAATTGGTATGGTCTTAAACCGTGCATGGAATGTGTCTATATCAGTTAATCCTAAATGCCAAGCTTTGTTGAGATCAGCCACAGAAGAATCTCACTCCCTGGTCCTGTTTAATTCCATGTTGGGCTGAAATCCTGGGAAGAAACATTGCTGAAATATTTTGATTCTCTTTCTTTTTTGGAAGACTTACACCTGGACCTAAAGTAGTGCTGCAGTTTTTGGTTGTATTTTGGTTCAGTTTTCTCTTTTCAATACCTCGGGCAATACAGCCTTACTTTGAATGTGAAAAACTAAGCTAAAGTATATATACATAGAGTATCTAAATATTTTCAATGATCAAGGATGTAAAGTAAACCAGCAATGAGATTCTGTGGCAGTTTGTTATTACTTATAAACTAAGAACCGTCATGGAAGATAACATGATATTTGTTAAGGGGAGTCGATTGAAAGAATGGCTACATCGACTTCCTCCATTCCTCAAGGACAGCGGTGCAGAACGGCATACTGTATCGTAGGGCGACTGATAACAGGGGCCGCCAATACATGCATCGGCGTTTATTGCAAGTGTTTGGTGAACACTGTGCAGTCCCTGGCTGAGCCCATTCATTGTCAATCACTCTTCCCCAGCCTGTATGCACCACACTTCACCTTTATGGACACATTATTGTGGTGTGAAAGTGCTGAGCTGGGAAACCAGAAACCAGAGATTGTTAATCAGTTACTGAACATGATTTTTTTTTATTTTCTTGGTGTTTTTTTTTTCTTTTGGGGGGGTGGGGTGCTGCCAACACAGCTAAATCACGATCACAAAAGGGCCACTGGTGCAAGAACCAAGACAATGCGGTGCTGCGGTTCATCTGCAAGCTAGTTACAGCACCCAGCGCCCTGGGTGAAGAGCCGTCACCTGCCCGGGAACAGAGGTCAGAGCTCAAGCTGTGGAACAGAATGAGCGTCCTGTGGGGAAGAGGAGCACTGCGGCCCGAAGAGGGCAGAGGGGGAACCAGTCCAGGCAGTCTTTCAATCTGCTGCAACGGCCTCGTCTGGCTTCCTCGCGCTGCTGGTTGAAGTGCTCTGGAATGCAGGGGCAAGGGTAGAAGATATATCTGCACACAGACCTGGACTCAAGAGGATATCAAAGCCAAGTACCCAAACCAATTGCCATTTCAGCCACTGGCTGTTGGTTTCTCAAATCAACGTGTTATAAACGCCTCCTGAAGACACGACCTGATCTATTTGATTATGTCATCATTTGTTTCACATATCCTTACACAAATTGTGCTCTTCAGTAAGTCTTGATTTTCATTGATACTAAATACTTTCTATGGCTTTAGGTAATGTATAGTATACCTGATTTTCTTATTGAATTCATAGTGGTAAAGTCACAGTGTTACAGGAATTGATTAGTATGAGCTGGAAAAGAAAACATTGAGATCCTTGCATTCCCATGAAATAGTTTCCTCTCCCCAGTACAGAAACATATTTAGTTATGCTCCATAGTTCAGGTTCTGTATGATCTCTGTTTGGAAGCTGTGGAAAGGCCTGTAAAAAGGCCAATATGTTTCCAGTTTTACTTTCATGAGTCCCAAAACATCACAGATCTCTCTATGAAAGTCGGACCATAACCTTCCGCATTAAAAATACCCCCTTAAAAAGTCTTTCCTTGAAGAAATACAGAAATACTCCTTGAGGATTCCCTGTGATTTCACTTCAGACGTGTTTGTGAATGGTGTTCTTTGTCATAACTAGACTGCTAAAATTTCAGAATGTAAAGAAATTGCCCACTAATTATGTATTTAACGTATTCCAGTCTTGTAAAAACATATTCTGTGGCATTTCTCAGTGTGCAGTGGAGCCCTAGAGCTATGATTACGTGGAGAATCCATATATAAACAGCGTAATAAGCTTTTTTTAAATCCTTAACTTGGGAAGGTAGTTACTTTTATGCATAATGAGGTGTCTTTTACCTAGTCACAAATATTAATTTTAAGCAGCTCATGCAATAGAAAAACGAACTAAAACTAAACTAAAAAGACATCACAATTCTTAGCCTACAAGTTGTTTTATACGCTATGGCCATTAAAATATTCAATTTGCTGTATCAAAAAAAAACAGAAGAAAGGGTACAATTAAAAAAAATATATTATTAGAACATATTATCTATCCAAATGATTTATTTTCTAACATTGCTTGATCTGTAAACCTCCTAATTCTTGTAAAGAATTATTAATGCAGTATTCATTTTTTTCAGCAAAATAGGCCAGAGCCATATGAATTCACAGTGTAAATTCATATTAAGTGGGGGTGGTTGTCCAGAATTTGATCTGTGAGATGTGACACAAAAACATGGCAGCCTCTTATCATTTCAACAGATTGCCTTGCCAATGACAATGTTTGCTCCTAGTTGTTACAGACCAGTGATTCACTCAAACGCATCAGAGATGGCACTTAGTGTTTTGTGATATTGCCATTTTCAGAGAATGCAAAGAATGGACAGACCGGAAACTTCTCTGAATGCCACATAAATGGTCAGCTCTTTTTTTTTTTCTTCCTTCCTTTCTTTCAAGCATCTGAAGTCAGCACTTAAGTCTTGGTGAGGTACATGGTAAGCGGAGCATGAAGGAAAAAGACTTTGTAACACAGAAAGAGTTGTCTGCAGGCTTTTTTAGCTTTTGTCAAGCAATTGAAATGAAAAGCACTCCTGGGAATTTCTGGGAAATAAAGCAAAGGGCTGGTTGGTTTGTTGCAGCAGCCTTTCTGTGCTTTGTGGGATGACATGGGCAGTCCACCAATTCTACACAGAGTTAGGAAAACTGAAATCACACAGAAGCAGGCTGAAATAGTTAATGTGAAGGATACATTTACCCACTGTGGGTAGGGTAAATTTGTGCAGTTCAATTTTAGTTTTCTTGGAAAATTGGCCTATAATTAGAGGGATGAAAGAATGATGGATTCTAACATTCAGAGTTAAGAATGATGTAATCGGTTACGGATTTTACATCTGCGGAGTGAACACGTATACGCGTAGTGTGAGTCTTCTGCGGAACAGTCACTGACATCACTGACACAATCAACGTGATACAGAGCTTGTACGGTACTTTAAG